TGAGGAAGATAGCCAAAAGAAAAAAATGATTTTGCTATTATCTCGGAAAGAAAATTTGTAATCTGATGTTTAAAACTATCTGAAATATCTCAAATAATCTAAAAATATAGTTTATTAAGAGACCATCATTGAAAAGTGTCTTTCTTAAATGAAGAAGGCTTTTATCTTATCTTACTTTTTGATTAATCCCCACCAGAGGATATCTTTCCATTGATTTTTTTAGATAGAGTGGAAGGGAGGGAGGGGGAGAGAGAGAAAAATATCAATGTTGAGAGAGAGACACTGATTGGTTGTCTCCCACGTGACTTTGACTGAGGCCGGGAATGGAACCTGCAACCCAGGCACATGCCCTTGACCAGGAATTAAACCCTTGACCCTTTGGTCCTTGGGCACACTCTAACTGCTGAGCCAAACAGACCAGGGCACAAAGAGGGCTTTTGAGGTAGATGAATTTCTCCTGAAAAAGAAAAAAGCATATATGTATGTAAAATATTAATTTATTATTATAGCTACAACTTCACAAAACTTGATGGCATGGCAAGTTAAAAACTTTTCCTATCTAATTTCCTAAGTTAATTAACCCAGCATTTTTTCAATAATTGACAATTGCAAAACTAAATTATGTTGCCTAAAAGAAGGTCTGCAGTTGAAATGCTGGCACAGCCATAGATACTGTGTGTTGTCTGACTATCCCTGAGAACAAAGAGGGAGTGTGTGTCTGTGTTTGTGTACACCACGATTGACTGGTTGTAAATTCAACTTAATAAATATGTACTCAACACCTACTATATTATTCTGGGCACTGCCCTAGGTGTCAGGGAGTCACAGTGAGTGAGACACATCCCTGCCCTCTAGGATTGCATAGTCCAACCAAATGATAGGCTCCCAAAAAATTATTACAAGTTAAGTATGCATAAAGGACCATGGGCACCCAGATGATGAATGAATGGATTCTACTGTGTGCTTCATGTAAGTTTATGAGAGAGGGTATTGGAAGGGAACAGGAAGTCAGGGGAGAGGATGGAGAAGAAATGGCACTTGGACTAAACCATGGGAGACAACCAAGACTTGCACACGATCGGGAGCTGTGTTGAGCATTTTATTTTGAAGGTTCACTCCTTTTGATTATAACTAGACATGTGATCATTTATTCCTCATCATTTTTATTTTGTTAGAACTTGATATTGTTTTGTCATAATCTTATATGAAATCTAAGGTTGGGTGGTATAGCAGTCAGCAATGCTCAAAAGAATCTTGTATCCTGGATTTAAGGAGGTGAATATCAGAAACCATGGAGGAGAATTTTTAAAATTTATTTTTAATTATAGTTAACAGACGATATTATATTAACTTCAGGTATATCACATAATGATTAGACACTAGTAACCATCTGTCACCATACATAGTTATTATGATATTATTGACTATATTCCCTATGCCGTACGTTACATCGTCATGACTTATTTTATAACTGGCAGTTTGTACTTCTTAATCTCCATCATCCATGCCCCCCTCCCTTATGGCAGCAATCAGCGTGTTCTGTTTCTGTGAGCCTGTTTCTGTTGTGTTTTGTATGTTGGTTTATTTTGTCTTTTAGATCCCACATTTAACTGGTATTTGTCTTTCTCTGTCTGACTTATTTCACTTGGCACAATACCTTTTAGGTCCATCCATGCTGTTGCAACTGGCAAGGTTTCATTCTTTGTTATAGCTGAGAAGTATTCCATTGTATATATATAACACACCTTCTTTATCCATTCATCTATTGATGGACACCTAGGTTGCATCCAAGTCTTAACTACTGTAAATAATGCTGCAGTAAACATAGAGGTGTATATTTCTTTTCTTCTTCTTTTTTTTAATCCTCACCTGAGGACATGCTTAGAGAGAGGAAGGGAGAGAGAGAGAGAAAAAGAGAGAAACATAAACATCACTCGGTTGCCTTCTGTATAGTCCAATCAAACGATCAGACCTAAAACCCAGGTATGTGCACTGACCGGGAATCGAACCAGCCACCTTTCGATGCACAGGACAAAGCTCCACCAACTGAGCCACTCCAGCTGGTCAGTCTTTTCAAATTAGTGTGTTTTTTTTTTTTCCCTTTGGATAGATACCCAGAAGTGGAATTACTGGGTCATATGGTAGTTGTATTTTTAACTTTTGGAGGACTCTCCATACTATTTTCTGGAGTGGCTGTACAAATTTGCAGTCCCACCAACAGTGCACTAGGGTTCCCTTTTCTCCACATCATTACTAGCACTTAACATTTGTTGTCTTTTTTATAATAGTCCATCTGACAGGTATGAGGTGATATGTCACTGTGGTTTTGATTTGCATTTCCCCCTGATTAGTGCTGTTGAGGAGGGGTGGGGAGCTGGAATGAATGGGTGGTCATGGATTCACTCAGGGAGTGGCCAGAAATAGGACGTGTCAGATAGTAGGTGGGCCCAGAGATTGTGTGTGAGAGGGAAAAGTGTTGTCAGAGGGGAACATTATATATGTGCATATTTATCATACATATATGCATACATGGATTTGCTCAGGTTGGTCATTAGTCCTGGAAATAAACCTAGTATTCATGCAGCTTTTTATGCCTATCATGTCATTAAATCTTCCCAACAACCCTGGCAGTGCCTCCATCACCACTTTTCAGACAAGGAAACTGATGTCCAGCGAGGTGCAGCTGGTATGTGATAGAGGAGGCAGGCCTCGGACTCCTGTCTCCCCCTGGGAAGTGGAGGCCTTTCTCATGACACCACAGCTGTTTCTATCTTTCTTTCTTTTTTTTTTAAATTCTCACCTGAGGGTATGTTTTTTATTGATTTTTAGAAAGAGGAAAGGTAGGGGGAGAGAAACATAAATGTTGATGTGAGAGAGAAACTGATTGGTTGCCTCCCAATGTGCCCTGACTGGGAATCAAACGTGCAGCCTTTGGTGTATGGGATGATGCTCCAACCTTCTGAGCCACCTGGCCAGGGTGATACCACAGCTGTTTCAGGAGTGCTAAGTCCTGGAATGAGAAAGACAGGATGGTAGGAAGCTGAGTGGGAACAGTTGCTGAGTGAGCATCCTTTCTGGGTGGGATGGGATTGAGAGGAGCTACTTAGTGAGATCCAGTTCCATCCATCCCATTGCCCCTTTTCTGACTGCAAGACCAAACTTTCCAGTGATGAAAATACCTGTGTCCAGAAATACCTGTTTAGAAGAGTAGCTAATTAAGAGTACTGTTACTTAGGGTGGGTGGAAAACTTTAATAGTTCAAGTCCCCACCCTAGAATACAGTTCGGGCCCTGGCCGGTCTGGCTCAGTGATTAGAGCGTCAGCCCACAGACCAATGAGTTGCGGGTTCAGTTCTGGTCAACGTACCTCAGTTGTAGTTTGTCCCTCGGCCCTGGTTGGGTTGTACAGGAGGCAACCAGTTGATGGGGCTCTATCACATCGATATTTCTCTCTGTCTCTCTCTCTCCTTCCCTCCCACTCTATCTGAAAAGTATCCTCGGGTGAGGAATAAAAAATAAAAAAAAAGAAGTGTACAGTTCAGGAAACCTGGGAAGGAAAGGGAGATAGAATCCCTACTTCTAACAAGGAAGGAATTTCCTGCAGAGGAAGCCAACTTAAGTTTGCTTTTTAAAAATTTTATTTATTTTTTTAATTTTTAATCCTCATCCGAGGACATTTTTGCATTTATCTTCAGATAGAACGGGAGGGAAAGAGGGTGGGAGAGAGAGAGAGAAACATCAATGTGAGAGAGACACATCGAGTGGCTGCCACCCACACGACTCCAACTAGGTCCAGGGACAAACTGCTACTGAAGTACGTACCCTTAGTGGGAACTGAACCCGGGACTCTCTGTTCTGCAGGCTGAAGCTCTAACCACTGAGCCAGACCGGCCAGGGCGCTTTTTGAGCATTTTTTAAAGCAAAAACGGTAATATATGAGTTCATAGTCTAGAGGTAGCTCTTCCATTGGGTACAGCTGAATTCAGAGGTTCAGAGAATTTTTTCCAGCTTTTGTCTTTCTCCCTTCATCTCATCTTTGCTTTCCTCTTCCTTCTGTGAGGGTGTCCTTCCCAGGGAGGCTGGCTGTTTTTCTCTGCAGGCAAAGATGGCCACACACAGCTCTGGAGTTACATTGGCCTTGTCATTACATTTATCAGGGGCTAGTGAGGCCCAGTGAGGACAAGCCACTCTTAAATCCCCACTAAATCAAGTGCTTTTGATGAAATTAAGCATGAGTCCTTTTGGCTACTGCATCTTTTTTAAGTACACGCGTTCTACACGTGTGTGGCTTTTGCACCCTCACAAATCCCGGAATATTGCTTCCCCTCCTCGCAGAAGCTACTGTGGGTTGTAATATTTTTAATGCCCAGCGAGGTGCAGCTGGTGTGTGATAGAGGAGGCAGGCCTCGGACTCCTGCCTTCCCACTGGGAAGTGGCATTCGTCTTTGTATGTTTTTATTCCAGTGGAAACATTTGGCTCACCGTTAGCTTTCACTGTCCCTTTCCAACTTCATTTCATTGGTTTCTTTAAGGTTTGTACAGTTCTGGAGTCCCCTTGGGCAGTTGTTATGTTTTTGAAGGCACAGTCTTCTGGGCCTTCCAAAATTCAGAGGGTCCCCTACCCTCAACTTAGAGTCACCTCTGTCTCTCTATAGGTTTTGAAGGTTGTACACATGTGTGTGTACACGCATGCACACACACACACATGCGCAAATATGCATGTCCTGTGTATGTGTTGTCATCAATACGTGTAGTAATCACTGAGATAGAGGGAAATAGTTTAGTTTTTAAATTAAAACTTTATGATGCACATTGGCAAGAATCTTGAGTATTTGCCTATATCCAAAAGCTGGACTCTGTCTCTACTACTTTGGTCCAGTAAAATTGTCAGCATAAGTGCAATGAATCAAGAGAATTTTATTAATTTTCTTCTGAAGCTGGACTTGATTACAGTGTAGGGACTGGTGCCGTCTAGTTTTTCATCGATTTCTCTTATTCTAGGCACTTGAAGAGGCCCAGAAAGCAATTCAGCAACTCTTCGGCAAAATCAAAGATATCAAAGACAAAGCAGACAAATCAGAGCAAATGGTGAGTTCAGGTTTTTTCCAAACTGTTTTTTGCACCAGATGAGGAAGTTTGCCTCTCTTCCAGTTATACTTGTTAATGGGCTTTTTTTCCCATTTGCTGCCAACCACAGCACCCATGTCTCTGTAACAAGCCCTCTGAGGACATTCGAGATCCGTTCAGGAGGAGGAGCCAGCGATGCCGTGACTCACGGTCCCTGCTGCCCCGTACTTGCAGCCCTGTGTTTAAATAGCTTCCTCATCGTTTTGGATTCCTTTCTCTATTTGTTTATATCACATATTTTATATCATGCATAGTACTAGGCTTGTGTTAGTTGCTCAATGATTGGAAGCCGTTATTAAGATATACGATATGTAACTTGGTATCTCATTAAAAACGTTCCTGGATCTGGGAGGTGGATGTATTCTGCCCACGATACATGCTTATGGTTTTGATTAAGTTCTCCCTCTACAAATGTGTGTCCTCGGTGATATACTTGGAGGCCCCGCTGCTGACCAGGAATCCAGCCTCACCCACTCGTGCTCCGTGGGAGGTGCTATGAAATACCTGCTCTTGGGCTCAGATTCTGACTACATAATGTAATGTCTCTGAATTCCAGTTTCTTCAGCTGTAAATAAGAAAACATCTGGCTCAAGGGGTCATAAGAATTAAATGTGTGAAGAGCACTGAGCATAATCTTAGGCTTGTGTTAGTTGTTCAATGAATGGAAGCTGTTATTACTGTCATTTTTCCCCCTACTTTTTAAATTTTTTGTTAATCCTCACCCAAGGATCTTTTTCTGTTGATTTTTAGAGAGAATTGAAGGAAGAGAGAGAGCTAGAGAAACATCAATGTGAGAGAGACACATAGACTGGGTGCCTCCTGCACGACCCCAACTGGGGCCAGGGATCGAACCTGTAACCCAGGTACATGCCCTTGACTGGAAGTGAAGCCGTGACCCCTCAATCCACAGGCTGACGCTCTAACTGCTGAGCCAAACTGGCTAGGGCTTCCCCTACTTTTTTTGGTTATAAAAAGCCTTGTAGGTTTGTGAGTGTACAACTGAGCTGTGCAGGTCATATCTTTATGAGTTCACGCAAAGTGATCCAACTAGAAAATCAGATTGCATGAACTTAACCTACTACTGAGTTTTTCACTTTTTTAATTAAAAAAAAATATTTCAGCCCTGGCCAGTTTGGAGCATCAGCCCACAGACCAAAGACTCTCAGGTTTGATTTCAGTCAAGGGCACGTACCTTGGTTGCAGTTTGATCCCCGCCCTGGTCGGGATCGTGCGGGAGGCAACCAGTTGATGTGTCCCTTTCACATCAATGTTTCTTTCTCTCTCTCTCTCTCTCTCTCTCTCTCTCTCTCTCTCTCTCTCTCTCTCTCTCTCCCCCCCCCTCCCCCTCTATATGAAGATAAAGGAAAAATATCCTCAGGTGAGGATTTAAAAAAAAAATATAGCCCTGGCCGGTTTGGCTCAGCGGTTAGCGTGTCGGCCTGCGGTCCTGAGAGACCCGGGTTCGGTTCCCGCTAAGGGCGCTTGCCTCGGTTGCAGTTTGTCCCCGGCCCTGGTTGGTTGTGCGGGTGGCAGCCACTCGATGTGTTCCTTTCACATCGATGTTTCTCTCTCTCTCTCTGTTCCTCTCTTTCCCTCCCACTCTACCTTAACAAAAAATGGAAAAATGTCCTTGGGTGAGGATAAAAAAAATATAGATATATATAAATAAATAAATATAAATATTTCAGTCCTCATCTGAGGATATGTTTCTTTTTTTAAAAACTGATTTTAGAGAGAGAAGAAGGGGGAGAGAGAAACATCGATCAATTGCCCCCCATATGCACCCTGACCAGGGATTGAATCTGCAACCCAGGTGTGTGCCCTGACCGGGAATCGAACCCATGACCATTTGGTGTACAGGGCGACATTCCAACCAACTGAGCCACCTGGCCAGGGCCTGGGTTTTTCCCTTTTAAATCTTTCCAGTGACTAGGATATTTGTGCCTGGTATCAGGGCACTCCCTTCCTTCCAGGTGTCAGAGAACCTGGAACAGCGTGTTGCTCTTCAGAAAGCATCTTGGTCAACGCGGACTCAGGCAGGTAGTTGAAGATTTCCCCTGGGTGTTGGTAAAGTTGGAGACTTGTTCCTGCTTCACTACCGAGTGCACTTTTCTGGTGACTGAAATATACTTGTATTCACAGAGCTTCTTCCTCTTGGACCTGCCACATCAGCACTGTCGGAATTGACTCCTCCCGTTTCCTTCTCACTCCCTGAAGGCTGTGCCTCTCCTCTCGTGACATTACTTGTTAAGCTCATGTTATGGGGTTTACATTTTAATCTTCTTCTAATTTGAGAGGAAGTCTTTCTTTTCTGGAGTCCAGATAGTAAACCCTGGTTCCATGACTAAAGACCATCTCAATAGAATTAGCCATCCAATACCATCCGTTTTGCTCTGAACCTAGTAGTCCCGGAGGCAGAGGTGTACTTCCCAGCCTTGTTCAAGAGGAGATGCGCTGTACTTGGCTCCTGGGCCTGGGATACTCCATACTAGATTTCCATTTAGATCTCCATTGGGGGAAAAATAAAGTTCATTTTATTCTCACGACAGGATTTTAATCCTCACCAGAGGATATTTTTCTATTTATCTTCAGATAGAGTGGGAGGGAAGGAGAGAGAGGGGAAGAGAGAAACATCTACATGAGAGGGACACATCAACTGGTTGCCTCCCACACGACCCCGACCAGGGCCCGGGACGAACTGCAACCAAGGTATGAACTCTTTGCCAGAATTGAACCTGCGACTCTTTGGTCTGCGGGCCAACGCTCCAACTACTGAGCCAAACTGGCCAGGGCTCAACTGAGGATTTTTTAACCATGGGTAAAGTTGGTTGAAATGCCAAATTAAATTTAAATGGGCTGATTGGGAATTATTTTGATTATCTATTGTGAAAAAGCCTGTGGTTTCTCCAAGGGCTAACCTGAGAGTTTGTTGACTTATTTGATTTGATTTTTCAATTACAGTTTACATTCAATATTATTTTGTATTAGTTTCCGGTGTAACCTGAGGTTTTTTTTTTATCCTTGCTTTGTTTGCATTATGTTCTTGTGGAGCTACTTGCAGATGGGTTTATATCTTTCTTAACCTTCCTCCTTTTTCTCCTGTGGTTTTCAATATTTAGGTTAAAGAAATCACCCGTGATATCAAGCAGTTAGATCATGCCAAACGCCACCTGACCACCTCCATCACAACGCTGAACCACCTGCACATGTTGGCAGGCGGTGTCGACTCCCTTGAGTAAGCAGTGTCAACTTCCTCTTTGGGGTCCACAGGAAAGGAATGTGTCATATAGAAAATGGCATCATAAGTTAATTTTCTTCTCAGCTAGTGAAGTCTCACTGTCCTGCCTCACTTTCTGCAAATCCGCCTCTACTGTTCAGTCCCCAGGTTTGCTTTGTGTTCTCTGGTGTTCAAAACCAACGAACAGCCTGACACTTTGAAATGGGATGCAGGGAGTCTGAAAGGGACCCAGGAAGCATGTAGAGAATGACTCCAAGAATACAGATCATTTCCATGCGGTAGGTTCTACCATGGAGGCCCACAAGGAGATTCAGGTCCATAGTTCCTCCCTACAGCCTCGGCCTTGGCAAGTTCCCTGCTAGTATTGGACTGAGTTACACTGTCATCGAAGGTAACATATGGAAAGAGATCTTTGATTCGACCCACTTTTTCTAATACAGTAGCATCCTGTTTGGTTCGTAGAGGAACCAAACAGGGAATGATGCATGAGGACATTAGAAATAGTATTAAAAGGAAGAGCTGAGCCCAGCCAGTGTGGTTCAGTGGCTTGAGCATCATTCCATGGACTGAGAGATCCCAGTTTGATTCCTGGTCAGAGCACATGTCCAGGTGGTAGGCTCGATCACCACTGGGGGGCTTACAAGAGGCAGCCGATCGATGTTTCTCACATCGATGTTTCTTTCTCTCTCCCTTCTTCTCTTTCTCTAAAGAAAAATCAATAAAAACATATTTTTTAAAAAAGGAAGAGCTGGTTATTTGCCACAAAGAAACAGTGTAAAGTCCTCCTTTAGTAGTAAGATTCTGACATGTCAGTTTTCTTCTGTGGTCTATCTGAGAATTCCCCCTACCCCAGCCTTGGTGTAATCTCATGTGTGGACAGAGGAAGGGCATCTTCGCACAAATTTAGATGCAGTATCTAAAGTTAGGGGCAGTGGGCGGACTATCCTGATCTCTGCCAGGTGGTGCATGAGTTCCAGTGAACCCTGCCTCATTCTCCTGCAAGTGGTGAGCAGAGAGATCAGAGGCCAGTGGGAGACTAGAAGAGCAATTTCCTTGTTCCTTCCCCCGATGCTCAGTTTTGCACAGTCTAACCAGGTAGCAACATCACATCTTGGCTTGAACTTGATCCTATCTTTTTTTTTTAATCCTCACCCGAGGACAATTTTCGATATTTTGTTTAGATAGAGTGGGAGGGGGAGAGAGAGAGAAACATCGACATGAAAGGGACACATCGAGTGGTTGCCACCCACACGACCCAACCAGGGCCAGGGACAAACCATAGCCGAGGCACACGCCCCTAGCGGGAACTGAACCTGGGTTTCTCTGGACCACAGGCCGACGCTCTAACCACTGAGCAAACTGGCCAGGGAGATCTTATCTTTTTAAATATAACTTCTTAAGGGAAGTTATAAATTATACTTTTTCCAACCCTAACGAAAGACTTAGATCTAATAGTTTGTCCTTCCTTGCAATGTGTAACTTGATTTTATCAGCATCCTTATTTTATGCTTCATTAACCTTTGCAATCGGGACAGTAGACATACTTGATACAGAATTGCTTAACATTGGCTTAAAACCTACAGATCTGAGTTACCATGTAAATGCACATAAATGCCCTTTGTTGTATCCTGGAAAGATGTGTTTGGTTTCCTCATAAACTGTAATCTTCAGATAGTAACATTCTTACCCCTGTTCTCTGTCAAATGCCTGCTAATTCCATAATACCAACTCAAATCTCAAATTTCATCATCTTCCCAGATTTCCTCTCCCCACACCCAATGAGAATCCATTCCTCACACATTCTTTTGCCACCCATAACATATAACTAGTACTTCTCTTTAGGACTCAGTTCATCCTATTTGGTATTAGTTAGATGTGTATTTGGCCCTCTCCCTGACTAAACGTTGTTGCCTTGAGGATGTGGACCAGGTCTTATTTTCCCCCGATACTGCACCGCACCATACTTTTTCAGTGCTTAGTAAATGCTTATTAAATCGAGTTGATGCCTGTTTTAGAGCTCAGAGTAGGTTGTTCTACGTCTGTATCTTGTGTCCTTAGTGTTTTTCTAGAGTTCTCAACTACTTATTTCCTTGCAGAGCCATGACCAGGCGAAGACAGTATGGAGAAGTTGCTAATCTTCTTCAGGGTGTGATGAATGTACTGGAGCACTTCCACAAGTACATGGGAATCCCACAGATCCGGCAGCTTTCGGAAAGGTAAATGTCATTGGAGAAAATGATCTGCCCCTTTGGGAAGAGATGGTGCTAGGAAGTGCTTGAGCACTTCACTTAGTATGTTCATCGTACAATCTTGTTGTAAGAGGGAGCCTCAGATGGCATCTGACCTAACCCTGTGATGCAGACATCTTGCCCACCATCCCCGTACCAACTCCTGAGCATGTCTCCTACAGCTGCCTGTGTCAGGTAGTCGCTGGCTTGCCATCCCTGCAGTGGCAGCTGGCAAGTTGTATATCTGAACAACCCTCGGTTTTCTACATTTGAGGGAAACGATGCCAGCTGTTTATATCCTTGTAACAAATCACATAAGACTCGGAGTTTCTGGTGTACCACATTTTTTTTTCTATATGGTTCTGAATTTATATTAAACTCTTTTTATTATTTCTAAGTCTCTGGGTCAAGAAGGGGAGATGGCAACTTGCACTCAGTGTGCCCTCACAGGGGAAATGCCCAAGAACTATGAGGGAATTTGGAACAGAGCTTGGCAGAATGCTAGGGAAGTCGCCACTCTCACTCATCCTTCCTAACTCCTCACACTTAGAGACGGCTGGTCGCCTTCTCACACTGGGGATGGAAAGCAGCTAAGAGAGCGGACAGATGGGGCTACGAGAAAGAAGGAAGCTTGGATGCAGAAGGCAGATTTGCTCTTCGAGGTGGGGAAGAAGGGAAGGAGGGAAGGAGGCAGTGTCTCCTGCCCCTATCCTCATGATAATCCAGAGTTGGTCTGGTTTTCCCATTCATTTATTCTTCCCTTCATTTACCTAATGGATATTTACTGTGCACCTTCTATATCCTAGGCCCTGTGCTGGAGTATTGAAGGCACAAAGATAAGCAATACACACTCTCTGCTCTCAAGGAGTTCACCACTTTTGTGTAGAGAAGAGAGACATACAGAATTTCAGTATGGCGTGGAGAGAACAAAACTGGTATTTGCTGTATAAGGCATAGCAGGATCTTAGAACAGGAATTGATAGACTGAACCTTCAGGGGCTGAAGATAGAGTCATAGAAGAATTGAATTTTAATCTAGTTTTAAAAGAATCGGTAGAATCTTACCGCCAAGACAAGAAAGGGGTTGAGAGAATAGAAGAGAGAAAACATTGTGGCACTGGGAGATGATGGAGAGTGAAAGTCTACATAGGTAGGTACTGTCAGAGTTTATATGCCTTGCTAAAGAATTTATTCTTGCCCTGGCTGGTTTGGCTCAGCGGTTAGAGCATTGGCCCGTGGACCAAAGAGTTATTTATGGGTTCGATTCGGGTCAAGGGCACACACCTTGGTTGCAATTCATCTGGCCCTGGTTGGGGTCGTGTGGGACGCAACCAGTCGGTGTGTCTCTCACATCGATGTTTCTCTCTCCCTCCCTCCTTCTCTCCCACTCTATCTGAAAAATCAATGGAAAAATATCCTCAGGTGAGGATTTAAAAGAAAAAAAAAAGAATTTATTCTTTATTTGGTGGACAGTGAAAGATTTTAAGTAGGGAGGGGCATGATCTCTCTTGTATTTTGTAAAAGTCTGGTGGATTATAGATGCAAGACACTGGGGGTTGAGACTATATTCTAGACTTATCTAGAAAGATAAGAACTATACCAAGACAATGGCCATGAGGTCAAGTTGTGTTGAGGAGTTGGTTACTAACTGGTTGGTTATGTGTTGTGTAATGGGCATTGTGGATGGCAGGAAAGTAGCAGAACTGAAGTTTCTTTATAAAAAACAACATAGAGACCTGGCTGGTGTGCTCAGTGGTTAGAGTGTCTGCCTGTGGACCGAAGGGTTGTGGATTTGATTTCTGGTCAAGGGCACATACCTGGGTTGCAGGTTCAATCCCTGGCCAGATCAGTGTCGTGTGGGAGGCAACCAATCGATATCTCTCCTCCCACCCCTCTCTAAAAATCAATAGTAAAATATCCTTGGGTGAGGATTAAAAAAAAAAAAGAAGCAATACAGAGACAAATAAGAGAATGTGCTCTTTTAAGACTCTTTGCTTTCTAACATTTTTTCAAAAAGGTGGTTTTATAAATTTGAAGGAATGTTGTGATCACTGTTGTGATGACATTCCCTGTATAAAGAGACAATCTAACACTTGGTCAATATATTTCAGTGCTCCAGTCATTACGTATAGGGTTGCTGCAAACACAGGAAAGTTTACTTTTCTTTTAGTGCAAAACCTTTATTTGCAAGAATTTTATGCAATTAACATAGAGTATGTGCTATTTGGTAACACAAGAGAAGAGACCTTCTTGTTTTCAGTGCTTGGCTACAATTGTTTTTCAAGAGGTATTAAAAATTTGAGGAAAGTCCAGACTTCTTATTTTTAGCATCATTTCTGGTGATTTTCCTTCCTGATGTTTATATAGCAATAGTAGAACCATCTGGAAATGATAGAAATCGCTGTTTGTTTGGGGGGAGGGGAGAAGGCAAGAGAGTTATACCCTATGCATTGCTTTAGCTGCTCTAATTTAATAGCTTGCTGTCTATAAATTGTAGAGATCATACAAAAGGTTGTATTTTGAAGTCTTTGCCTGTACATTTGAAATATGAAGTTCATGGACCTTGATTTGAATGTAGTTATTTTTTCCAACTACCCTTCTTGAAAATGCTTAAACATTAATATAGCATTGAAGGAAAGATGTCTAAAAATATCATCTTCATATTACAAATCCTCCTGGTTTAAGAATATCCATGAGCCCTGGCTGGTTTGGCTCAGAGGTTAGAGTGTCGGCCTGCGGTCCAGGGAGACCTGGGTTCGGTTCCCGTTAGGGGTGCGTACCTCGGTTGCAGTTTTTCCCGGCCCTGGTTGGGTTGTGCAGGTGGCAGCCACTCGATGTGTCCCTTTCATGTCGATGTTTCTCTCTCTCTCTTCCTCTCTCTCCCTCCCACTTTAACTGAACAAAAAAATGGAAAAATGTCCTCGGGTGAGTATAAAATAAATAAATAAATAAAAAAAGAATATCCATGAAAGCAAATGTTTCTAGTAATCAGTATTTCCTGAGAAAGAATGGAAGATTCTTGCATTCTCTTGAAACCCATGAAACCTTTGAACTAAAAAATATTTTTCAGGGCTATTTCTAATCTCTTCTGTGTGAGTGATACTTGATAGATTGGGATGGCATGGTGTAGTGATAAAAGCGACTCAAGTAGAGGATGAAAAGGCCTGCCTCGCTGTGTGTCTTTGACAAGTTCCTTCTGAAGCTACTTCAGTTTCAAACGTGTACGTTTCGAAAGTGTGAGGGTTTCAAAAGTATAAGGGTTGTACTTCGTGATCTCAGAAGCATCCACTGAGTCACTCTAAGATTCTAGGTTGAGATTATAAAGCCTGTGTATCTGGAAATGGAGCATCTCAGACTAGTGTGGCTAATTAACCGTTCTAACCAGAACAGACTGAGTGTTTGGTAGGTGAGTTTATTGTGAACCTTTGTGGGCATTTTCTTTAGGACTGTCATTCACAAGGCAGTGGGAGCATTGGGGTTACTTTATCTACAAAAGTGTAAATAATTTTCATGATTTGCTGCTCCTCTGCTACCACGCCTTATGAAAACTGATAACACGTTTAGGAGAAGGCCCCTTCAAACAACCCTTAGGCTCATGGCATAGAGGACGTGAGAAGCCGATTGGCTGACCTTTCTTTCTGGGCAGCAAGCACAGTGAATCTTTTATTTCCTGAGTTGCCACCACTCAATCAGGCCGAGCTTATTTGGGTGCCAGGAGGAATTTTTATTTACTACCCTGTTCTCTGTCAGTTGTAGATTGATTTTCATGAGTGACCAGGAAATCTTGGTAGCTCAGCCCACATATGTGCTCTGCTAACAGTCTTGGTTGTTCCATCTCCTCACAGTGGACATTTACTTTTCACTGTTAGAAGAGGCAGGAGCACACTTAAAGGAGTCAAGTTGAAAACAGATTCTTTTAAGTGATTTTTTTTCCCTAGGATCCTGTTTAGGCACCTGATTACTGTAAAGACTGCTGTTCATCTCTCACCCTGGTGGAATCGTGGTTTGGGTTTACAGACACCATTATTAATGTCAGTAAGGGAAATGAATGGTTGATCTTTCATCTAAATCACCGATAGACACTTCAGAAACTACACTGGGAAATGTTTATGTGCGGAAGCTTATTCTTCTGCTCCTACAGTGATTATGCACCTGACCTGTAAAGATGGATGCTGTTGGCAGCAAGCGCTGTAACGGGTGTTGTGGAACAGTCAGTACTGGGGAGGACACTGAGAGGCAGCTGTACGGGCCTCCATCCCCACTCTTATTTCACAACTCTTCTTAGCGGTAGCCTGTGCAGCAGAAATGGCTTCCCTAGGATTATGTGTAGCTCACTAGTGGCACAGCTGAGTCTAGATTATATCAAGAAGTGACTTTGAAATGGACTGAAGGTGGCAAGGGGGTCTGCAGATCATAGTCTGGTACTTCACCCTCTCTTCTGCACCCTGGAAGCACCAAGCCTCCGGTTGTCTTTTCAGGTACCGCAGTTTCAAATTCAGTGAGAAGATGGAGTTAAGGGATGCTGGGGTAACAGGCAGAGCTGGGACCATCGTTATCACTGAGATGCTCAGGAGCCCTGAGAATATGGCCGAGAGTGTCGCCGCCTGGGGTGGGACCTCCCCTCCAGAAATGCGCCCTGTGGCTCAGGAGGGAACAGTGCTCCCCGTGTGTTGCCGAGAGGAGAGGAGGAGAGAGGGGCCTGAGGCTCTGGAAGCTCTGTCTTGTGCCCTGGCACCAGGGGGGCTGGCTGCCTGGGCCAGTATGTGGAGTCACAAGATCTCCGAGGTACAATTTTACAAAAGCCTGTCAGAAATGTTTCCCGTTGTCTGTTGGGCAGCTCTGGATGGATGGCCTTGATTACGATTTGGGGAGCGGTGCCAGCAATAGCCCTATCTTGGCATTTATAGCTCCCTTGAAAGCTAACGAAAGAGGCTACACACCCACCTATCAGAGTTTTGAAGACAGTGGAAAAACCCTGGAAAGTATTTAAAATAAAGGCATAATTATGACTGTGCCACAGAAAAATCAGACTGTTTTGGGTCCTGCCTATCCCTTCATTAAAAAAAAAAAATCGCAGTAGGTTGCTAGGCACTGCCTGGTAGCCAAAGAAATTGTGGTTTTGAGCAGTTCACTATTTCTAGAAACTTCATAAAGTTAATTCCAAAGTAACAGGGTGGAGACCAAGAAAGGAAGAACACTATTTTATGGTGCTTTTAGCAAAGGTAAAATGTTTGCCTCGGGCTCCAGGCAATTTCGGGGCCTCAGAGCCTTGCCCCACTGCAGCTCGGGAGGCTGCAGGGCCCGTGGCCCCGGTGGAGGGCGAGCACTGCGGGACCATGGCACAGACTTCCTCACCCGGCTGCTTCCGCCTTCTCCTTTCATTCAAGCTGACAAATATTTGTTCAGTTTCTAATGTACATGCAGAACTGCTGTGCTAAGTACTGACCTTCCCTTTCTAACTGGTTTTTCATCGTAACTCAGTCTTCATATTTACAATCTTCCGAGTGAACCTAAAGCTTCATTCAATGGCCTTCACTCTCACTTAGCAGTTCATTTTATCATTTGGGTCTTTTTTCTTTCTACTCTAGAAAACATTCGTTTTACTCATTTGTTAAAACTTATGATCCGATCTTGGTTTCTGGGTTGGAAAAAACAACAACTCTGAAATAGTATGGAGCTCTCCTCCCGTTTACTCCAAGGAGCAAGTGAGCAGTTATACTGGTGATTCAAAATGGATTTATATTTGAATTGGGCCTTATTACATAGCATTTTCCGCAGCATAACTACCACCTAATGACATTTGGTAAAGGTTAACCTACTTCCTCATGGCAGGCAAGGCGCGGCCTAGAAGAACTTGGATATAGAAAATCTATGGATATAGAAAATCCATCTTGTGATTATATCAGATACCTGGATCCTGGTCATAATACCTGCTACTAACTGTGTGACCTCTCTTATCTAGCCATCCCCTCCCTCCTTCCTGTCTCTAAAGACTCCAACAGTTCTAACCTCTATAGATCTTTGCATAATTACTTATGAATATTTGAAAATTACCAGACAGTGATATGTTCTCTTTCCTCTACAGAGTGAAGGCTGCCCAGACTGAGTTAGGACAGCAAATCCTGGCCGATTTTGAAGAAGCATTTCCTTCCCAGGGTACCAAGGTATTGATATGCATTTTCTTGCCAGTCTTTAATATTGTCGCCATTCTTACATAATTCACACTCACTACAGTTACTGTTCCCATTTATCATTCTGAAAGGATTTGGTGGCAGCCGTAAGTCTGTTTGTCAAAGCCTCCGGGTAATGAGACCATCCTTGATTTTAAATATCCCACAGCAGTGTCGATGTTCTTTCAGCATCAAGAAGTGAGGATTTTGGTTTTGATATAATTTAATGTGTGTCAAGCCTAATATCTTGTCTGCCCGGTAAATTCCTTTTTTTCTCACGGCTGTGTTTTTTAAAAATCTTGAAGCCGCAGTGATTTTTAGGATTGTTACATAACTTATTGGTTTCAGTTCGGTGAAAAGACAGCAGGGAGGGCAGTCCACTGGCTTATGTAACTTGGAGTGACACAGTCAGAGACTTGCTTTTGACCATCAGAATCCTGTTCTTTGGCATTAATGCCTTCTGCTCCCACTGGTAGCATAGCTGTTTGTGTTGTGTCTGGGAGCCCACAGTATTTCACTTGTGACCTATTGGTTACACTTCTCGTGTGACAAGCTTTGCCTCACTTGGCTGGCATTGTGCTTGGTTAACTGCCTTTAGCTCTACCTTCTAATTGTAGCAGACATAGTCTTAATGCTTTGCATGTGTCAAGAAGGGAAGACCTTTCAGAAGCTCTTATTTCTCTATTACTTGAGCTATTTCAAGAGAAAGAATTGTTCAGTGCAGATGTGGGCCGAAGTACACGTGGACAGGCAGCATTCCTCACTGTTCGTGGTGGAAGAGATGGTGGATATATGTTTATTTACTGGGCCAAAGAACGTTTCCTGAATCTGCTTTATAATCTGATTTAAGGAAATACCTTAATCTTTTTTTTTGGTGCTCCATAAAAGAGGTAGGACTAGCTGCCTCAGCTTTGTAGATTACTACTTTCTGTAGGAAACCTGCTCCTGATTTTAATGTCTGCCCACATTGTGCCTGTCTTCTGGTAATCACACATTTTATTTGTAAAGCATGTTCCTTTGAGACTTTATATCCTTATTCATTTGATGTAACTCTGGGGAGTGGATGTTGGAAAGCCATTCTGTGAAAAGAGATTGTAAAGTATTCATAGATTATAAGCAGTAGACTCTTCTTAGTGTCGTGTCGGATCTGCTGTTCAGGAAAATGTGGGTGCAGCCCAGCTTTATTACTTAGAAGAAAGTAACCATGACCTACATTACATCTTTTGCCCGATCCCACCAGGCAGATGAAGTTACAATGGTTTTAACAACTTGCTTCCCTTTTCTCTGACTGAGTAACAATGTTTTTTAAAGAATTTTCTTTTTTCCCTTTTTTAATGGCTGTTGACTTTTCTTAAAGGCCTTGTGCTATTATTTCTGTTCACAAATGGAACTCACGATATTTTAAAATATTATCCAAGGTAACCTATGAAGTCCTTTTGAAATGAAAAAATCTGAACCCACGGGTTTTGAATTCTGTGACTTCTCTCTCAGTTCAAACGTTTCTACCCAGGAGCACGAGTTGAGCAGTCGGTGTGCTCAAAAATGACACAGCCACTCAGTGTGGAACAAGTCAGCATTTTAACAAGTAAGCTCTGAGCCGGGTTAGGTAACACTTAGGAAACATTTAAATTTCAGTGGAGGTGGATAAATTGGACACAACTGACAAAAATAAAACAAAACACAAAGATTTGGAAGAAACGTACTCAGCACCTAGTTAAAATCTGTTATTTTTCAGATGAGGTTCAATAACTGTGCCAAAGCTACGTGGCTAGTCAGCCAAGCGCATAGTAGATTCCAAGTGTTCTTTTTACTATAGTGCACTCAGCCAGCCGTATTCATTCAGGGAGTTACCATAAAGAACGGTTCAGCAAGATTGAATTGCCTTCGGTAATGACGAAGGCCTTCCCATTGTGATGTATTGATATAGCCCTTTGATGTCCTTCTGCTGTTTTTTTTTAGGTCAAGGGGCTGATATTATAATATATTTATCTGCATATCTGAGTGGTTGACTATCTGTAGAGCAAGTCTGGTGGAACTTGTCTTTAGGTTTTATTTATTTTTTTATTCTCACCCAAGGACATTTTTTCCATTTTTTTGTTCAGATAGAGTGGGAGGGAGAGAGAGGAAGAGAGAAAGAGAGAGAAACATCGATGTGAAGGGACACGTCGAGTGGCTGCCACCCACAAGACCAACCAGGGCCGGGGACAAACTGCAACCGAGGTACATGCCCTTAGCGGGAACCAAACCCGGGTCTCTCCGGACCACAGGCCGACACTCCAACCGCTGAGCCAAACCGGCCAGGGCATGGAACTTGTCTTTAGGTTTTAAATGCCACGGTATTGTTTGGCACAAATATAGCACCTTAAGAATAGGAATCTACCTCTTTCCATGTCGAAGATGAAGCAAGGGAAACATTTTTCTAGAGATCATTTAACTCTTAAAGATCTTGTTCTTTCTTTCTTTTTTTTTTTAATTGATTTTTTTTCCCCTTTCTGGAGAGAGGAGGGGAGAGAGAGAGAGAGAAACATCAATGCAAGAGAGAAACATCTATCGGTTGCCACCCACACACACCCTGACCAGGGACTGAACCCTCAACCTGGGTGTGCCCCAACAGGGAATCAACTGGCGGCCCTTCAGTGTACAGGCTGACACTCAGTCAACTGAGCCACGCTGGCCAGGGCAAAGATCCTTTTCTTGAAAGAATAAGAGAAAATGTGTCATTCTTTTTTCAGAATGTAACCATGCTGAAAGATTACTTCATGAAATTCCCTTGACCCCCCCGCCTTAAAAAATAACAGTAATTAAATGTAATTTTTGAAAACAAATAGAATTATTTACATTATAATAATAAACTTTTGCAAAGTGTATCATAACTTTGATATACAAAAAAAAGAATAGGATTCTGAGGTTGAAATCAGGAAAAGTGGTGCATGTGAAGTGAGACGGTCGTTCTGCCTTCTGGGCTCTTCCACAAGGCGATTTCCATTTTGGTATTTGGAAAGCAAAGTTTCCTGTGAGCATTACTGGCCATGTTTTTCAAAATGTCCATTGCTGATTGACAGAGTAGCTTTTATATTGGCTACTACACTCTAGCTTAATGATTCTCTCATCGAGGAACAAGTAACTAAAATATCCATCCACAGCAGCAGAACGAGTGTCAGGGGAGTGGAAGCAATAACTTCAAGAGAGGGGCGAGAAGTAGCAGCTGTCAGAGGCCATGAGATTTAGAGGTTCTTTCTGGCTTTTGAACTGGTGTGTGTTTGTTTTAACAGAGGCCAGGAGGACCTAGCAATGTCCTACGAGATGCATGTCTGGTTGCTAATATTTTGGACCCCAGAATCAAACAAGAAATCATCAAAAAGTTTATTAAACAGCATCTGTCAGAGTATCTAGTACTTTTTCAAGAAAACCAAGATGTAAGTATTGACCAAATGAGATCAGAAGTGACATTTGAATTTTATTGAAAATGGAATACTCTGAAGTCTGCAGATTTGTGCTTTATTAGTATTATCGTCTTAAAGACTTGATTGGTGAACCATGAATCCCAGGGGTTAACTGTACAGTTCAGTGATTCTTAACCATTTTGGGGTCACCGACCCTTTGGAAAAATTAATGAGAGCTACAGATCTTCTCTCCAGAAAAAGGTAGCTGTGCATAAAACTTTGCATACAGTTTCAGGAAATTTACAGACCTCTGAAGCCTAGTCATGGGCCTCAGGGTAAAAACCTCTGGATCAAGTGAAAAAGTAGTCTAGATTCTTTAAAAGCATGAGAAGTAGAGGATTTGGTTGTGTTTTCCTTGGTTCTATATTTTGGATGTTTCCTTAAACTATCAACACTACTTCTAAATACTGGGGTGGATTTTGTTCCCTGATTCCTAAGGTTGCATGGCTGGACAAAATTGACAGACGCTATGCCTGGATAAAACGCCAGCTTGTGGACTATGAGGAGAAATACGGCCGAATGTTTCCACGTGAGTGGTACATGACCGAGAGGATTGCAGTGGAATTTTGCCACGTCACAAGGTAGATTCCACCTCTGCTGGTCTTGGTGTTCACTGAAATCAGTCCTCCTGTCTTTAGCAGTTCCATGTTGTCTTAGGATTGGAATCACTTCCTGACGCCACCAAATGATTTATATCACCCCATTCAATTATCGCCCCACTCTCTGCTCCCATCTTTGCTCCAGGACTTTCCTTTGCCCTCGTCCTTGCCTTGAACACCTGCCTCCTTGACTCCACCAACTCAGGACTCATCCACCAAATGTACCTGTATTGATTCATTGTCCCACATTTCCCCCATGTCTTTGTCACATATCAGCTTGCAGTTGTATATATCCATCATCAATTTGCTTTTCTGACTTGATAGATAGCTAGTTCCATAAGGACAGGGGTGTACCTCCTTCAGTGACATAGTAAAACATCAGGAAATATTTGTTGAACAAATTTCCCACCCTTAATACAGTACTGATAATCCTTGAGTACTTAATAATATTGGCATCTGAGTGTTCTAAGCATTTTAAAGACCTCTCATTCATCCTGTCTTCAGTGTCCATGAGTGTAGCCCAGGGCCATGTCGTCCCTTTATATCCAAGAATTAAAGTCCAAAAAGGTTAGATCAGTATATACATGACAGAGCTAAAGTTAGAGTCATTTTATTTTTTATTTTTTACCTGCAGCTGTACCATAAAGTAGTGGTGACTGGGTTTTATTAGTTCTATATTTCCTTTTACTAGTTCACAATTACATTAACTCTGGGTTAATAAAAAAAAATTCCATCTCTGGCTGTTGCTCAGTGGTTAGAGCATCAGCTTGCAGTCCAGAGAGACCCGGGTTCGGTTCCCACTAAGGGCACGTACCTCGGTTGCAGTTTGTCCCCGGCCCTGGTTGGGTCATGCAGGTGGCAGCCACCCGATGTATACCTTTCACATCGATGTTTCTCTCTCTTTCTCTCTTCCTCTCTCTCCCTCCCACTCTATCTGAACAAAAAATGGAAAAATGTCCTCGGGTGAGGATTAAAAAAAAAAATTCCGTATCTTAGCATAACTCGGCCACCTTAGAGTAATTCATTATAGTCATCTACCTTAACATCACAGAGAATATGGTCTTTATTCTGGCTACCTCCCGCACGACCCTACCCCGACCAGGACCAGGGACTAACTGCAACCGAGATACGTGCCCTTGACTGGGATCGAACCTGTGACTCATTGGGCCACCGGCCGACACTCTACCCCTGAGCTAAACTGTCCAGGGCACCACATACTTTTTAACAAATATATAAGCTAAAACCATTTACTCTGTGCCCTGGCTGGGTAGTTCAGTTGGTTAGAGTGTCGTCCCGATACACCAAGGTTGTGGGTTCAATCCCTGGTCAGGGCACATCCAAGAATCAACCAATGAATGAGTAAATAAGTGAAACAACAATGTTCTTGCTCTCTCTCTCTCTCTTTTGCTCTTTCTCGCGCTCTCTGTTTCTCAAATCTAAAACATCAATAAATTAAATTTTTAAAAAATATTTTTATAAAACCATTTATTCCGTCTTATCTTTGACAATATTCTTATCTCTTTGTTTTGAAGGACAGAACTTGCCAAGATTATGCGTACCAGAGCTAAGGAAATTGAAGTGAAATTGCTTCTTTTTGCTATTCAGAGAACAACTAACTTTGAGGGAATTCTTGCAAAACGCTTCTCTGGCTGCACTCTGACAGATGGTTCCCTGGTAAGACCTCCCCCAGGGAAGGTTGGAGCATGGAACGCATGGGTTGGATGGCTGGGCTTCGCTTCAGTCTTTCATGGCGTGGTGATTCCATCTATTAGCTCAAGTGCATCTATTCCAGAGATGTCACTGAATTCATGTCAGTAGTGATGCTATCGAGTACTTTGTATGGATTCTTCATTGTTTGTCTCTTATGCAGTACTCCATGGTTTTAGAATGGCCTATGATTTTAAGCATAGGCCTCATTTTACAGACCAGCGATTTAATCACAAATACCTTATTACTCTATTAACTATTGAATTTTATTACAGTTAGGATATGTGTTTACTTTATAGTTTGGTTTCTTAATGTCTCTGGTGAGCAAAGCAGGTCAAGGTGTCTCCATAAACTTCAAAGCCATGTGTACAGATTTGCATGTCAGAGAGATGACAAAAAATTAAACACAAAGGTAACAGGTCTGAGGGCTGTGTCCTCCACCGGAAACCTGAAATATGATAGTGTTGGTTAAAACCATTTACTGTCCATGTAAACAAAGACCAGGCCCAAAGTGTCTCTCTGAAAACCTCTTTTTTTAAACCCCAGGCTCCCTGCTAACACAACAATATGCTTTCTTCAGATTTCCCATTGAGGGGAAACCAAATTACTATGTTTTATAGTACTTTCTGTTTACAACATTACACACACACAGACTTGAGCTCCCTGAATGCAGGAATCACGGCTGGCGCATCGCTGCTTCCTAGTCATGCAGAGAGTACACAGACCTGGTGCAGGCAGGCAGGAGTGAGGCTGGAGGAGGAGGAAATCAAAGCTGCGAGAGTCACAGCTCCTGAGTTTCCTTTAAAACTGGATTCAAACAAAAAACTGCTGGTAACAGAGAAGCAGTGTGATTTGGGAGGAAAATCCTTGCATCAGCAGTCAAGGGAGACGTGTGGTCTAGTTCCGACTCTGCTGTAACTCCGGGAACTGTCTTCCCTGTTAAATGAAAAGAATAGGCTGTCCTTTAATAAGAGAGTACTGGGGGTAAACAAGACGTAAAACCCAGAAGCCATAAAGAAAAGTACATTTAACAACATAAAAAGAATGAAAGTCTGCTTGGAAAAAGAGAGCACAAATATAATTAAGGGGCGTACCACAAACTAGGAGAAAACCAGTTTAAGCTCTATAAGACAAATGCTTAATATCCAGCACACATGAAGAATTCTTAAAAATCAATGTGAAAAAGTCAACCCAAGAAAAAAGTACAGGGCCAAGCAGGAAATTCATTGAAGAAATTAACAGTTGGCTTATATAAAGAAGTGAAAAAAACAGAACAAGATATTCATTTCCATACATCAGGTTGGCAAAAAATATTATAAGAATAATAACAAGACAGGATTTTGGTGCTAGTATACAAATTGAACACCGCCTTTTTGGAGAGCAGGTTTTCATTATGTATCAAAATTTTCAATGTGTGTGCACTGTGAGGCAACAATTTCACATCTAGCTATGAAGTCTGTAAAGAACAATCCATACCAAGAAAGAGGTGAACTACGTCCTTAAAAGCAAACAAATAAATAAATGAATGGAGTTTTTTTTTTTATCTTCACCCGAGGATATTTTTGCATTTATCTTAAGATAGAGCAGGAGGGAGAGAAGGGGGAAGAGAGAAAGAGAGAAACATCGATGTGAGAGAGACACATTGACTGGTTGCCACACACACGACCCCAACCAGTGCCGGGGACAAACTACAACCGAGGTGCATGCCCTTAGTGTGAACTGAACCCAGGACTCTCTGGTCCGCGGGCTGACGCTCTAACTGCTGAGCCAAACTGTCCAGGGCTAAAAGGAGATTTTTGGGAGTCCATCATTGAAGAATGGTTAAGTAAAGTACGGCACATCCACCCTGAAGAGGTGTGTCCAGTGGTTAAAGGTGGTGGAATGGGAGGTAGACCTAGATGCGCTGTCACGGGACCCTCTCAGAGATTGTTAGGTACAAAATGTAAGCTTGTAGCCCAGTGCATCTGGTATAGTTCCATTTATGTCAAAAGCAAAAAGCATGTTGATGTCTGTAAGTGTGTAAGAAAAAGGTCTGGAAATGATAACAGTGGATGTCTCTGGGGAAGGAAGCTGGAGTGAGTAGGTGGAGAAGCAAAGAATTTTTTTCATTCTCCTCTGGTATTTTATTTGAATTTTTCCTATACAAATCCATTTACATACATTTTGAAACATATTTTTTGCATTTACATACTTTAACTAAGTTATTTTTCAGGTTGTTTTTTTTAAATGAGGGAGATGGGCCAAAACTGACTTCCAAAACTCTTTCCTCTAACACACTCTGATGTGGAATCCACACAGAATAATAGCTAACATATTTTGAACATCCACTGTGTGTCCCACACTGTACTAGGTGTATTTTCCTAAAGTCAATCACTTTGCTTCAGCTGTAGGCGGGGGGGGGGGGATGCTGCACTCATTTGAAACTTACTGGAGGCCACCGAGCCCATAGATAAACACGGAAAAACTGAGCTACTGATTGGAGCGGGGCAGTAAGGGCAGAGATTGGGCTTAGAATCCCATTCACTTGTTCGCCTCTCACTCTACTATCTTCTGTAGCCCCCACTCTTCCAGTCCTAAAATTCTGGTACTTCAGTGGGATCCCCTCTCTGCCCTTCCAAGACCTTGAGAGTAGGCACATGAGCTGATCCCTCAGGGCACCGGGCTAAAGAGTGGAGGCAGCAGCTCTCAGTTTTCAGGTAGGACCACAGGCTCTGCCTACTCAATACCACTAATGACTTGATTAAAATAAATATAACGGGCCCGGCTGGTGTGGCTCAGTGGTTGAGCGTCAACCCATGCACCAAGAGGTCGCCGATTCAACTCCCAGTCAGGGCGCATGCCTAGTTTGTGGGCCCAATCCCCAGTGGGGGGCATGCACGAGGCAACCAGTCAATGTTCTCTCTCATCGATGTTTCTGTCTCTCTCCCTCTCCCTGCCTCTCTCTCTAAAATCAATAAAGTAAAAAAGAATTTATAAAATAAATACAATTGAACCACAAAGCATTCTTTCTGCACTTAATAGAAGTACATGTACATAACACATACATATATACACACACTCCTCTGATTGTTAACTCATATTCAAAATTGATTTCCTTTTAATAACGAGGAGAAGGGCCACGAAGCAAATGACAATTCCCTTAAAGAAAATACAAGTCACAGAAGGAAATAGGTAGCAGCAATGCCACTGAAAGAAGCATGTGTCTCCTGAGAAGTATGTGGTTGACTGCAACAGCAGCTTGGTGTCCTCATGCTGGCTCTCCTCCCTGCCCTACCCTAGCTGTGCTTCTGGCCTGGTTTCAAGCAGAGACTCCTGCAGCTCTGGGTTCAGCCCCACAGAGGTCTGTGTGGGGACAAGGAAGTTTAAGCATTGAGCATAGGTCCCAGCTGGGAGTGCCCCCTGAGCTCCCACGTTCCAGTTGGGAAGGGTCGGTAGAGCATAAGGTAATCCAGCTAACTGTATGGGAGATAGGTCCCAGTAAAGGATACTTGAATGACATCAGTGCCAGATACCTGTTTTGAGCGATTCTTCCCCTCCTTTGACTGGACTCTAATTACTAGTGCATTTGCTTTTACATTTAGGGAGCTGTAAGTTTACGAGAAATAAATGGCCCTGTTGTATCTGATGACCATGAAAGCCTATAAGCTTGGGGCAGTTCCAGGACATGTAAGGTCTCGCTTGTGCTAGGAAATGCTCCAAAGGTCAAAAGAGACAGAGTAACATGGGCAGAGAAAGCCCCTCTAGACTAGGTGAGGGTACTGAACAGGATAACCACATAGATACCATGAAAAACTGGCAGGAGCTGTGCGCAGGTTTGCGAAGAAGGTGTTTTTTTGTAGAACACTGGTAGAGGGATGTCAAAGAGGCAGTTGGCCAGCTGTTGACCTACTTCTGTCCGAGGGAGGAGAGGGCTGGAGCTGCCCATGTCTCAGGGCAGCAGGACCTCTCTCTGCACTCACCTCTCCAGGGCCAAAGTCCTGAACTGCACCTTTTGTGTCCTGCAGATACTACGCTCTGTGGTGTGGATCCTGGTCAGCTAGGGACACTTGACTCTTCTTCACCCTTCTCTTCCTTTTTGGTCCTCTGTTTTTGAAAATTTCTGGCATAATCTATTTACAAATATCTCCTCCAGTTGTTCAGTTGTTTTCTCTCCTGTCAAGTTTGCAGAGAGTTTCAGGTTACAAATCATTGGGCAGAAAATCCTACAGAACCACGAGCTTTTTATTCACCCCTAGTTGGGTAGCTGTCTTATCCACAGACTTCTCCAAGTCATTCAACTTTTTAAAAAAATTTTTTTCTTTCTTTCTTGATTTTAGAGAGAGAGGAAGGGAGAGAGAGAGAGAGAGAGAGAGAGAGAGAGAGCGCTAGAAACATCGATGATAGAGAACGTTGATTGGCCGCCTCCTGCATGCCCCCCACTGGGGATGGAGCCCACACCCTGGGCATGTGCCCTGATCTGGAATTGAACCGGTGACCTCTTGGTGCATGGGTCTATGCTCAACCAGTGAGCCACATTGGCTGAGCTTTTTTTCCCCAAATCATTAAACTTCTTTTTTTTTCCATTAAACTTCTTTAAGTCAAACTCTTCCCCTCGTTCATCTTTGCCCCAATTATCATGATCCAGCAACCATTGTGCATTTGGGTCCTGACAGTGACTGCTCCATAGCCTTCAAGGGTTTTCCCTTACAGATTGGTTTCTAGAAAGGCAACAGAACTCCTGTGGGCTCTTCCACAAGGCAGGCTAGGTCTTGGAGAATGGGTTGACTGCAGCCTGCTGTGGGAGGCTGTGAAGGTTGTGCTTCTCGCTGTAGATGATGTTCACTTTGAACATCATTCACCTTCACCTATAACAGAGACCCTGGTGGATTAGTCAGGGCCACTGCCCATGCTCCCAACAAACGGCTGGGAAGAGGCCGCCCTGGGCTGAGCCAGAGTTCCCAACTGGCTGGACTCCTAGTCTAGTTGTT